TATATATATATATATATATATATATTTCTATCAATCAATCCATCCATCTTCTGTCTATCAATACATCTTATCTGGTTTCATTCCAAAATCATTCTCTGAGATATATATCTTTTTTATTTCCTAAACCATGATTCTCAGAGAGATTAAGTTATTTTTTATACTACTTACATAAAAAATAGTAAAAAATCAAGTCTGATTCTACTATATGGTTCTGTCCTCTGTAATTATATGAAGACTTTTTTTTTTTTTTTGGCAGTGCTGGGTCTTGTACACTCTAGGCAAGCACTCTACCACTGATACCATTGAGCCACATCCCCAGCTCATGAAAAGTCTTCTTAAACCCTAATCAGACACAGTTACAAATAGTAAAGAATTTCCTAGCATAAAAAATGATGAAGAACTATAATTTACTCTTCTAATAAATCATTACATAGAATCAATAAGCTATTGTTTTGGAGATTCATGTGCATTCTTTGTTGTTGGAATGTTCCTTGTAATAGAGGGGAGGGTGTAGAGACAAATCTCACCAGTTATCTCTTCTTTACCTGTCTTGTTCCTTATGAACAGCCTTCTTGGCCAGGCTTAGGGTGGCTACCATTCCACATTTTGATCATTAACTTAACGACTTCCTCTAGAAATGTTAAGTAATAACATATCCTTCTAAAGCCATTTTCAAATCTTTTCTTTCTTTTTTCTTATTAATAAAAGCTCATTAAGAGTTTGCTAATGAGCATTTTTTTTTTATTTTCCACTCTTTTTCTCTTGAGTTAAATGAACTCTGCTACAGACATAATTACTAATTTTAACTCTTCATAAGATGAACTAGCCAAAGGGGAGAATAGTGCAGAACTTACCAACTTTTTATAAAAGTAGCAGGTACATATTAGAATCTCAATAAGTACTAGTTGAATACATACTTAGTTAAGAGTTCTGAAAAAAACAAGCAAAAATATTTAGCACTTAAATTAGTTTGAAGACTCAGTTTTAACACTTGTTCTAAAATGCTTATGTATGCATTTAGTTATGTAAAGCATTTCTGAATATAAAATAAAACATTTGGGTTTTAAATAATTTCCCATTGCTGGAATATTTAGAAGAAAAAAAATCTCAGTGATCCTCAATAAAACACAGAACACTAAAGTTCATGCTGCATGTGCCCAACTGGCTATCAGATCAAGAGCTAATGGGGTATATAATTATTGTTACTGAACACAGAGGGGAAGTTATTTTTCATTTTACATAGACTAATGAGTCTTTAGCAGATTTCCCATTAAGTTGTTAAATTGCTTAGTGGAAATCTGTTATTTCAAAACTCTTCTTCCTAATGTTTTCATGACAGCAACTACGTAGGATATTTAAAAATAAATATAGTTTAAAATGTCATACCTGTATATAACTTGCACCCAAGTTTCTGTTTACTTTATATAAAATAAGTGGAGATATTTCTGATTTCCAGTTAAGCTGATCTCTGGAGATAACAAAACTGTCTTAACTGAGCCCTCTATCACCACTGTTTTTAAATTGATATCTGAATCATCTGTACCTATGCCAGACAAAACAAGGCAGAATAATATCCCCAATGACAGTGTGAGCTCTGTGCTCTGGGTTCAACTTGACAGACACAGCTCACACTTTAATCTCCTCTTCCTCCTGAGATACTATTAAAAGGCAGCTAATGGAATTTTAAAAGGGAGAATCCAATAGTGATAAAGAGAATGAAAGTCTGTATCAAAGGCCAAAATGTCACATTTCTGGACAAGAAAAAGCCAATGATATGTACTGGTGGATGAAGCAGATCAAAGTAGTCCTGATTTTAGATTACCCTTGGAAACAGGGGCCACCATCTACATGTTGGACAGTAAACTCCTCTCACCTATTAGGGATACATCTCAAGACCCCCATTACATGTGAAACTGTAAATAGTACCAAATGCTGTAATTATTGATTTATCTATCTTAGCTAAGCAGTTATCGCTGTGGCCATAATTTTGAGATGCAACAGCAAAATAGGCATGAATTCTTTTTTCCTTCACATTTTCATAGACAGAAAATTCATTTTTACTTAGATCTTAGTAACCTCAATATACAATTTTTTTTCTTTATTAAGTCAATAACTTCCACCTTTTCAATTAAAAGAAACACATTGGGGCTTAACTCTTTGGCATATCTGAATTGCCGGCGGAATCACTCTTGTGCTTTGTAGTCATTATTAAGTAAAACAAGGGCTACTTGAACACAAGCACTGTGGTACCAGTCAAACCATCTGGTAACTGAGACAGTTACCAAGTGAGCTGTCTACAAGCCACGCAGTTCGCATGTATAGTGTGGTTACACTGCAGGAAGTGATGATTCATGTCCTGGGCAAAGAGAGCAAAGATTTCATCATGTTACTCAGAATGGAGCATAATGTAAAACATGAATTGCTTATTTCTGGAGTTTTCCATTGAATATTTTCAGACCATGGTTGACTGTGGATAACTGGAGCTGAAGACAGCAAAATGTGGATAAGGGGAAGCTACTGCATTCCATGTGAATGGCTTCTCCTAGAGTTGTTTTTCTGGAATTTCACCCACAAAACACTCCACCACAAGGTACTAGCACTGTGTGGAGGGTCCTGCAGCTTAGAAGAGAGAAGATCTGCCTAGTAGAACCCAGGAAACTCAGAGACTTCAGGGCAGTGACAAGAAATAGGATGGAAAGCAAACTCTGAGAATAGGAACAAAGATGCCCCCACTCAGCACACAGCCTAGAGTGCAAAAGAGCTTCCAGGCAAGATTCTTGTCTGAAGAAATAGGATCACTCTCCTGGCAAACCTAAATGAGCTACTTTGAGTGTCAGCCCCCACAGCAGAGCCCATTAGGGTATACCAGTTAGCTGGCAGTTTCAGATTTGCTCCTCTAACCTGAAGCTTTTCATTTTAAAAGGCTTGGACTTTATCCACATCCCCTGTCAGCTGTTCTACTACTTAATTCTCAAATGTGAATAGACAGCTGCAAGTTACCAAACATTTCAACAAAACCTGCAAAATAGCACACACAAGATTAAAACACACATGCAAAGAGAAAGGCTATCCTAAATAAACAGAGGTGATTTTTGGAAACAAAATAGAATTTAAAGAAATACTCCATATAAGCATTCCTTTAGCAATATGAGTGACCACTAGAATTAAGGCTGAAATGGTGAGATGGATTGCCTCTGGGAAGTCATGTAGGATTCTCAAGGGAGGTGACAGAAATTGAATTTTGAGGAATGTGTTTGGAGAAAGATAGAGGTTCAAAAAGAAAGGAACAGAAAATCATGTGCAAAAACCTGTAGTTCTTTGCTAATGCTGCTAGGATTAATGGTAGGAGACCTTCAGTGATACACAAAATTATAAGAGGTTATGAGGGGCAAGGGGGTGGGGGGAAAAAAGGGGAGAGAATTGAACAACAGCAGAGGAGGTAGAGAGGGAAGATGGGAGGGGAGGGGAGGGGAGGGGGGATAGTAGGGGATAGGAAAGGTAGCAGAATACAACAGTCACTAATATGCCATTATGTAAAAATGTGAGTATGTAACAGAAGTGAGTCTGTATTATGTATTTGGGGAGTTCAAAACCCAATTGAGTCGAATGTATGAAAGATGATATGTCTTGAGCTCTGTAATGTTTTGAACAATCAATAAAAAAAAAATAAATAAAAAAAAAAGAAGCATCTTTAGCTACTCAAAAAGCTTTGTTTCATCCAGAAAAATACACTTTATTTTATGTTATCCTCCTCATATTCTAAAATTTCAAGGTAATTTTAGAGGCATTCTTAGAGAAAAAAATTTTCTAGTAAGAAATGTTTTCATGTCAGTGAAACAGCTGCTCTGGGATGTGTTGACCACCTTTACAAAAAGCACTTAAGAAGAAACTAGATGGCCACATTCAGGGATGCCATGGAAGGAATTCTCTGTGGGATAGATGGTTAGTGTAATAATTGGTCCCACCCAAAAATAATCTTAAATCCAGAAGTCTGTGAGTATCCAAAAGAGAACAAAAAAGTAGTCTTGCCTATAAACAGGTACATCTAAGGGAGCTCATCCTTTCAGATTAACTGCTCTGCATTTTGATATCATTATTATATTTTTGCAAAAGGATAGTCAATTGCCCTGGGACAGCCACAGGCCACTGTTAGCCACAAGAGAAATCCTCCTCATATTCTAAGCACATTCAAGGCTCTTGATACCATGGGGGCCTGGGAGACTCTGATGTACCCATGTGGGGGCCTAGACAGGCATCCTTTCCAAGGAACACTCTGGGAACACCACCTTGAATGGAATTATTCTCTCTCATTTTCTACCAAACTCCTTTTGCCTCAGTAGAAGAGGTTGATTAATGGTTAAATA